GTCCCAAAGCAGTTTAGGAGCCCGGCAAGGAAGCTGCCCAAATGGGTCCGGCTTGCGCCACAAGTGAACTGAGGGCCACAGACACGGCACGGATGTGTTGACAGGTGAGAATATTTGCCTTGGTTCAAATGAACAAGACTCAGCCCCAGGCTTGGGAAAAGGGGGATGAACACCCTCCCTCCCTCCCCACCATGACCTCCCTCCATGGGTTTTCTCCTGTGTGTTGGGAATGGAAACATACGTGGTTCTTTTCTCTGCAGGGGCTGTGGAGAGCGGGGACGTGACGGAGTCCTGGCTATAGACGCCACTTTCGCCGTAGGAGCTGTTGCTCGGGGACGACAAACAAGAAGGAGACTCCGAGGTCAGGTCAAGCTTCAACAAGGAGTCAGGACTTTCCAGATCGGATGTGCTGCCGTTGAATTTGGCCCTCTTCTTCGCCGCGCTATTACGCAGAGACCGAAGAGAATTCTGCATCTGAAGGGGGAAGAAGACACGGGATCCCAACCTGGTGCTGGAAAGGGAAGCAGGTGGCCAACACCCATTGACTTTTTAGGACTGGGTTAACTGGGTGAGCAAGCTTTTTGGTTCAAAAGGTGCGACACTCGCACTGTCTCGCAATACCTGATGCTCCAACCCTCGGAGCTATCTTAGTGCCATCTGCCTGGGGAAGTGCCAAGGAGTAAACACACCGGATGGAAAAAAAAAACAGTAACTAGAGATAGAAAGCGAAGCAAGTAGTAGTCCCGGGTTGGGGAAGCCATCAAGTGATATTGAAAACAGAATAAAATAAAATACATCCCATGTAGCTCGTTGGTCACTTGCAATGAAATACAGATGGCCCAAAAGCCACCTGGATGACAGACCTCAAACGGGTCCATGCTGACCTCAAGGGCTCATGCTAAGTGGAGCACAGGGGAGAGAAAAAAAGAAAAATAAGCAGGCAGACAGGCCCACACCATGGGTCTCCCACCTCTTCCTCATCCAGGTCCTTCTCACAGACGTTCAATTCTGAAAGGTCGATGGACAGCTTCTTGCCCCGTTCCTTCAGCCAGAGGTCATCCGGTTCCCCGTTCTTGCGTCCGACGGCCACGTTGGCCTCTGCTGGGTCAGGCAAGGGACTCACCCCCCTGGGGATGGGAGGCACCGGTTTTGTTCCGCTCAGGCCTCGCCGGGACGCAGGGGACCTCACAAAGGCAGGCTTCAGCTGGATTGGAGGCGTATCCTGAATGTTCGCTTCTACAAGAAAGAGCCACACGGTGCATGTTAAGGACACGCTGGCAGAGAGAAGACGCCACCTGTTCTGAGTCGGCAAAGACAGAAGCGGCAGAACGATTCAGACCGTCACGGCAGGGCTGGACCCGGGTCTTGGCTAGTCCTCCACTTGGACCACTCATGCCCTCAGGTGGCAACCTGAACATTTATATATTTATTTTATATTTTATTTCATGGAAACCCCTTCGTCCTCTGGAAAACCGAGTTGCACTGGGGTGAAACGGCGTCTCTTCCTCCAGCTGAGTCAGAAAAGTCTCTACTTGCCTTTTCTTTACCCAACTCCTTTTTCCCAACACAACTTTTTTTTGAGGGGGGGGGGAGGGAAGAAGCCAGTGTGGCACCATGAACAGACTCGCCGACCAGGACTTAGAAGACCTGAGCTCCCTCCTTCACCTCACAGGGTGATCTTGGGCCAGTCATGCTCTCTCAGTCTGGCCTACTCCGCAAGGTTTTTGTGTGGATCAAACGGAGAAAGGAGAGTCATGCCCCGCAGATTAAAAGAAATAAACAGATCAATAAATGAGCAAGAAGTCTAAAACTGTGCCTCCCTAAGGGATGTGGAGAAATTAATACTCAGAAAAGATTTGCTGGCAATGAACAGGTTGATTTGCTTTGGTCCTTTTTGCTTCGTAAGGTGCCCTCTGTTTGAAGACACCCTGCCAAAGGTGGCTCTCCTTAACTATTTTACAATAAAAGAATTTAAGCATCCAATTTAAGATAAACTTCTTATAAAGTACAGGCAAAGCCCAAAGAAACAAAACACATAACACAAAAGGACAAAAATATTAAAGACTAACTATTGTATTTTAATGTGGGTCCTTTTTGCTTCGTAAGGTGCCCTCTGTTTGAAGACACCCTGCCAAAGGTGGCTCTCCTTAACTATTTTACAATAAAAGAATTTAAGCATCCAATTTAAGATAAACTTCTTATAAAGTACAGGCAAAGCCCAAAGAAACAAAACACATAACACAAAAGGACAAAAATATTAAAGACTAACTATTGTATTTTAATGTGATGTACGTACAGGCAAAGCCCAAAGAAACAAAAACATAACACAAAAAGACAAAAACACAAACACAAAAACACTTCACATTAAAGACTAACCATTGTATTTTAATGTGAGCTTTTGTGGACAATGAAACTGTTCTAAGGCAGTTCCCCCCACAAGTATCAGAAAAACTAAGAATAAAGTGAAGATCAAACTAGTGCTGGATGGAGAGTTAATGAATTGATGGCGATGATGCCAACAGAGAAAACTGAAGAACCGACATCTATTGCTCTGAAAAGCTTCGCAAAAGCATTACTGCCTCCGGTACTAATAAACTCTTGATTCAGCACTGCCTTCCTTTCTCCTCTTCTGATTTTTTCCTTCTTCTGAGTTTTTGCCACTACAGTGGTGCCCCGCTTGACGATTACCTCATTAGATGAGGAAATTGCTTAACGATGAGTATTTTGCAATCGCTCTAGCGATTTTTCATTTAACGATGATTGGTTCCCTGATTCGGGAACTGATTTTTCGCTTAACTACGATCAAAACAGCTGATTGTCGGGTCTTCAAAATGGCCACCCGCTGTGCAAATTGGCTCCCCACTGTGTTTTAGGACAGGTTCCTCGCTATACAGGCACCGAAAAATGGCCGCCCTATGGAGGATCTTCGCTGGACGCGGAGGTATTTCACCCATTGGAACGCACTGAACCGGTTTTCAATGCATTTCAATTTTACTTTCGCTTGACGACCATTTCGTTCTACAGCGATTTCGCTGGAATGGATTATCCTCGTCAAGCGAGGCACCACTGTACCTTTCGCTTCCACTTTGCTTCTTCAAGTCATCCCAAACTTTACAATCAGGTATGAGATTTTTTTTACTACATATCCCATGATTCTTCATTCTGGGAGTTCCACCTACAGAGACCTTGGGAGACGGAATCGGTGGCCCAGGCAGGCCCAGTTCCCAGTGCAAAATGGAAGTGGCCTCGCTGCTCCCTGGGACCTCCCTTTCCAGACGTTTCAAAACACCTCCGACAAGCATCCTCAGGAACGTCCAAGGCAACCCTAACCCAACACTTCACAGGCAGTTCACAGAAGAATGCATCCCGCAAGGTTCAAGGTTCCCTGAGACATGACCCAAATGGCATTATAGCTTCTTCTAGGCCTTTTCCCCTGGTGAGGCAAGCCACACTGACGTGTCTGCAGATGTCTTCTGCCTGGTGGAACTGCCAGAAGGGAGAATGAAGGGATTTCTTATCCCCAAACCCCATGTGCCTCCTTGCAATCAAAGCTGGCAGACCCTGCCAGGCACCACCCGTTGAATACCTGCTACCGCCGGGGGTTTTACCTGTATCCTCTCCTAATAATGCACTGGAAAACTTCTTCTGGGGAGTAGGTTTTGGAAGCCCTTCAAAGCTCTTCAGCGGCCAGGAATTAGAGAAGTTAACAGCATGATCTTGTGAGTTCTTGAGGGGATCCGTGGGAGGGGACGTGCGCTTTGGACTGTGCCTGGGTGACGAGAAGGGGTAGGATGGAAGAAGGAAGGAGCCCTGGCCGGCGGCGGGAGAGCCCAGGAAAGGCGAGACGTGTTCCGGGGGACTGCAAAAAATCCGCTGCGACTTGCTGGTGAAACTCAGGCTGGCGCACACTGATGAGGAGAGAGAAGGAAAATGCAAACCAGTCATGAACCATCCATAAAAAGACCGACTACATTCGCCAACTGTTCTTTGTCCAATCTGCCTGGAGATTAAACCACAAGCAGAACTATTAAGGGGGACTTTCCCCAGCGCTTGTAACCCCAGCGGTCTGATCTTACATGGGTGTCACACCACCACAGCTTAGACGGTGGGGCTACGGTGTCCACGACAAGAGAGGCTTAGAGACGATAAGAACAGTATACGGTGGTTTGGAGCACTTGTAGCCTGCGGCAAGGCTACAGGCAAGAGGACGGGAAATGCGGCTACAGCAGGGAAGAGAGGAAGGGAAAAAACCTGTGGGCGCGATATTGGTGAAGCTGAACTTAACTACATGGCACATACCTTTCTCTTGCCAGGGGTTACTGAGTCCAAGAAACTGCAGATCAGAATCCACACTACCGCTCTTCCCGCGAGTGCCAGAGAAACCAAAGAGGCCGCACCGTCCCGAAATATGGGGCTGATGAGACGCCATCACACCTTCCAAGCAAAAGGAATGGGCAGTCAGGTCCTGCTTGCAGCAAGTCATCCCCGTGCAGGGACTGCATGCTCTCTGTATGTCTGGGACTCTGGAAAATCAGAATGTCTGGAATCCTGATGACAGCTACCTCCCCTTCCCTCCCACGTCTCTGTCTCTGTCTCAAGGCAACCTTTTAAACAAAGGCTTCACCCGCAGTAGACAGAACAAGAGATCCTACAGGAGAAGGTGGCACATCCAACATGGAACTCTAGCTTCTCTTAGGTACGACATGGGCAGAGACCATCAAAGCTGAATATCAGACACATCCAGCAGCAGGCAAAAGCAAAAACCAGAGCATTCTATCAAATGAATAACGCTTAATAAAGGAAAAAGGATCAGCACATTCCTTCACTCCCCCACTCCCTCCCCCACCACACACCTAAACAGATTCAGAGTTCTACTCCCACTGAGCCCGTCCTGCCAGGCACAACAGGAAAGGAACCCAGCCCCCCACCCCAGCCCCCAAAATTGGCAGAGGCCTCCTAGACAGACACAATACATACCAAATGCCAGGGAGCAAAGGCAAGCCTGCTCTTGCCCCAAGACAGCCTTTTCCCCACACTAGCCTGGTGCAAAGGGATGACCCCTTGCACGTGACCGCAAATGCCTCTAGAAGCTGTTAATCAAAACACACACTCGTCATCTGAAGCTCCTGCAAGAACTACCTCTCACGTTTAAGGTCTAGTACAGAACTCATTCCGGGTTCCTGGGAACCACAATTAACACATTTGGAACAATCCAGGATCAAACAACAGAGAATACGAGCAACCGTTTACTTTTTTTCAAAAAGTGGATCATCTTCCAGAAGAGCAGAGCCTCACCCACGCACAGATTACAGAAGTGGGCGGCAGGCATTTGAAAGTGAAGGAAAGAATGTACCCCGAGGAGAGAAACGTGGGAGCCACCGCGAAGGCAGTTTCCAAACCCTGTCGTTCTTCCTCCCCTGAGGGCTGTGAGCAAATAAAATCCCCAACGACCACCACATGGGATGGAAGAACAGGTACAGGAAAAAGGGGTTTTGGGGAAAGCTTGGCTGAAAGCCCTAGAAGCAGCGACTGCTACTCTTCTCATAAAGCCTTTGATTTCACACCCAAGCGTTTTTCCGGAAAAGGTCCCATTGCCTGGTTTAGGTTTCTATAACAACAGATCCCAATTCCTCACCAAAAATTTAAAATATATTTTTAAAAAACCCAATCCTCCAGAGAAACCAGATTCATAGTTCAGCTGCTCTGTCGTCTCGTAAGTGGCAAGATGCTAGAGTATAGCAATTACCACCATAACTCAGTGAAGAGATTTACTCTCGACGGGCGATGGTGGCAAAACACTGGTTGCAAGTCCTGCCGCCCGTCAGAGCAAAGGCGAATTAACAGGGAGGCACCTGTGGCTGAAGGTGCCTCTCTGTGGGGTCTACTCCCTGCAGCATTCACCACGGCCCTCTTCCGTTGGGTTGCTAAGAGGAGCCTCTGGAGCATTTCGCTCCGGTGGGTCTATAAAAGAGGCTAGGCAGGCGAGAGGAACGCCAAGCTTACAGCCTCAGCCGTTCGGGCTTCTTGGATCCCACTTGCCCTCTTGCTGCCTGAGGACGGCCAGGCCAGCAAGGAAGAAGCTAGAGGACAAGGCTCCACCCCGCCTCCATCCCCAAGTGCGACTGAGAAGCACCACAACCTCAACCCACATTTAGCATGCAACTGGGTTACCTTGAGAAGGCCTTAGTTTTGGAGAGTGAAGGAAATCGTTTGACCTCGAGAGCTGCAATCAAAGCACAAAGGAAGAGATTTTAAAATGCCATTTCAAACCACATTGTTCCTCATCGAACCAAGACAAATGCACTGTCACGTATTACAATGCGAATCTGGACAAGGGAGACCACGGAAACCTCCAAGACCTATGAGCAGGGCCGCACATGGTCTAAGGAGCTGCATGTGGAGATTGGCACTTTGGGTTCTCTCCCGGCAGCCCCGCTCCAACAGCCCACACCTCGTTAACCATCAGAAAAACCCAATCAACTCAAGTTCATCTCCAGCATAGGGACTTCTTGCCACTCTTTGCCCAAAGAGGCCTGCCCATCGGCTCCTCTCAGAAGGCTGTCCGTTCGACTGCCTCCTAGTCGTCTCTCACACACACAGCTGTCGCAAAAGCAGCTATGAACATCCGTGGCTCCACAAATTCCTTCCGCCACCCCCCAGGGCTCCCTGCGTTAATCTATAACAAAACTGAGCTCACCGGAATGTGCCTGAATGTAATTATTAATCCCCTCCACTATTCCAGGGACCCATGGCTGTTACTTTGAAAAATTAAGAACAATGCTGTCTTGTACTTCTCCTCAAATTTAACCAACGCTTAAAAAACAGAGAACATTGAAGATGGATGTAAGAGAAAGAAATCTTTCCAAGGGCTCATGGACAGCAGGATCTAAGAGACCTGCCTCATTTCACTGTCCTTTAAAAAGGGTCACCAAATGGACAAGGAAAACTCTCATGGGCATTTGGGCATTTACTGTAACTCCACTGTGGCCTTGCTGAGCAGTTTCCTAGTGGGGACACCTCACCCATGGAAGAAAAGGCCCAGAATTCTCTCCTGAGCCATGCGTTAGGACGGGTCTCAGACACACCACCTGTCCAAGAGCACCCGTGCAGGGGTGTGGAGGAGATGCCGTGGCTTTGTGGGCTTCTCACTATGGGAAATGGGACGCAGGAGATGGACCATCCGCAACATTCAGCAGGCCTCTCCTAAAATACTGTACTTGCATGCTTCTAAAGGTATATCTGCACCATGGCTACTGACATACACTCAGCTGTTTTACAAGAGCTAAAGAGGTTGGTTATCCAATGGCCTCCCAGCACGCGTCATCTGCAAATTATTTAAACCAACCAAAAGGGCTTTGATTTTTGTATCCAAAAGTTCAGTGGTTTGATTATCCAGGCAAGGACGTCTTTGAGGGACTTTGAAATGCAGACCTCCATGTCGTGACCTCAGGAAAGAATAGGGGAAGGAGAGCCTGTCCAGGAGAGTGATTCATGGTCTGTTTTTGTCAGAAGAAAGTGATTCAAGTGGGTCCTGTTCTGAGGACAGCAGACCTCTGGCCTGAGGCCGTTGACCACGTATGGCAAAAGAAACCTCATGGCGTAGCGTCCAGCAGCAAGCTGGGCTGGATGGAAGGGAATTGAGGCCAGAGAGCTGTTGCTCACCCTCAGCTGCAGGGTTTCTCTCTAGACTAGAATAAAAGAGTAAAGGTCTTTACTAGCAAGGTATTTAGAAGCTTTGTTAACTTTCTAAGCTTTTGACATTTTCTTGACAAAGTCCAAAGCCTGTTTATTTTCTGTGTGTGTTTTCTGCTGAATTTGCATTTGATCCTTTATTCCTTTTTGAGTCATGTTTTGTTGCTGTTCTTTAATAAAACGGATAAAAATCCTTCCTCGCCTTGGGAATGATTTTGGGATACAAGAACGTACAGAGGTTCTGAATCCAGATCCTTGCCTCTTGGACACCTATAACCGTGTACTGTATTTTTCTGGGTTATGCGTGCAGATTTGGATCTAACAGGTTCCCAAATGAATTGGGGGGGGCAGTACAAGCAAATCACCTTTGGGAGTTTGGTGTATCTACTTCCCTTGAGTAATCTTCTTGGATTTCCCCTATCCCAAGGTGGGGAAAAAAGGGTGCTGAGAACCACAAAGAGCACTGGGTAGTGATTCCAAAGGAATTCACATCATGAGCTCCTCAAGACTTCAAAGACATCCATGCCCTCTAACTCTTGGGGTGGGGGGCACTGTAGCCCTCCATCAGTCCTGTACAGTGACAGTCCTCCAGGCCCCAAACACCTGGAAAACCACAGCTGCTCCCCCTGCCCCCAAGCAATCACACACTGGCAGTCACCGACTGGCCAGGCAAGCTGTGGTGAGAAAGAAGGGCCTCCAAAGAAAGTGGCCAAGAAAGTGGTTGTCAACAGAGACACGTTCATGAATGCGTGAATCCGTTTGTGGGGCCACTAGTTTCTCTGAAGCTAGGAGCATGAACCCTCCCTCTGCCTTCCAAAGAGACGCAGGGCTCAGGGCTCACCACCCAAGCACGACCTCCTGGGTCTGCTTTGTTATGGACTGGACCCGTTGGCCTTTTTTAGTGTGCAAAGGCACCTCCGGGTGCTAGCTCGGCTTTTGAGAAAAGGGGCATAGGCTCCCCCTGTCTCTAGCCTCTCCCCAACGCCTCCTTCCTCCTTGGAGGGTCAAAACCCTCAACACCACCATCCGCCTCCTGCGCGTATCCTCGGTGTGTGGCGTGACCAAGCGTTGTCCTTCACCGGGTGGATGGGCAAGGGGCCCCCGAGACAGGGCGGAGATGGGACCCTGGGCCGCCTTGGGCTCCTCCTCCTGGCTTTGCCCAGGCGGGTGCGCCTACCCCACTATGCTGGCTGCTGTGCTCCCCTACCACCACCATCCCCACCACCTCGCTGGCCCCCTTACCGGCTCCGTCCCTTGGGTGCCAAAGGCCCGGCTGCCGGCAGGATCGCTTTCCCAGGGGAGCTTCCCCTTCCCGGCGCTCAGCCCTGGGCCGCCTTGGGCTCCTCCTCCTGGCTTTGCCCAGGCGGGTGCGCCTACCCCACTATGCTGGCTGCTGTGCTCCCCTACCACCACCATCCCCACCACCTCGCTGGCCCCCTTACCGGCTCCGTCCCTTGGGTGCCAAAGGCCCGGCTGCCGGCAGGATCGCTTTCCCAGGGGAGCTTCCCCTTCCCGGCGCTCAGCCCCCTCCGGGGGCAGGGCAG